ACACACACACACACACTGCTGCATGTTTGTTTGCAGCACAAAGCTCCTCACAAGTCACTCTGGAGTCCTTACAGTTAAAAGTTGAAATATACAAACACCTATAAGTTGATATCAAACTATTTGAATTCCTGTCTTCTACTAATTATGTTCCTACTTTACTTTAATGTAATCGCATTAATGTACCACTCTCAGTCGCTAGGACGTAAAAAGTCAGTTAGGGTCGGTACCCGAATTCAGCCCAACCCCTAACTCTGACCACAACATACCCTGACCGCTGTTTTCGTTTGGCTGTGACTCTAATCTGAACCCAACTAACCAAACCAACCAAGGCAAGAAAGCCAGTCAGAGGCAGTGTGGGCGGGGTTACACAGGTGTTTAGGGTTGCGTACCGACATCAGGAGGTGGCAGTACCCAGTAACCCAGCCCCAGGGATTTCAGGCACCAGCCATTTGGTTAAGGTTTGGGAAACATTGTTTTACAGAAACTGGTGTCTTTTTTCTTGCACTAATCGACCTTATTCTTTCGTTTTCAAGATACTTTCTGTAATATTCTTTACCACAGGGAGTTTTCTGGCTGTTGGCACAAATGTTTTCACTGCAAGAACCGTAAATCCTCGAGTGGGTACGAGTGAAACATTTTCAATCCGTTTCCAACAGTTACTGTCGTCTCACAAACACTGAAAGTTAGTTTGGAAGAAAAACGAGATGATTCGGTTTAGTGACAAATATTTTTCTACTTGTTGAAGAAAAGTTTTACATTTCTGCTTTATTCTGTTTTTCAAGACATGACGCTCGTTTCTGGAAAATATTTCAAACCAGGTTATTTGTATTTCACCTCACAGACTTTTTCACTTTCAAATCAAATCAAGAAAAGATTAAACTTTAAGGACTGAAAACAGACAAAACTGACTTGATAAAATGTTTGTATTTTTACAACCTGCAAATTAAATTTACAGACGTCAATTCTGAAGTTACTGGATGACGATGGTGCAATTTCGGTTGTCTTCCCTTGAACAAACCCAAACCAACAATGTGTTTGTCTCTCAATACTGTCTCACTTCCTGTCAGCTCCAAGCACATTGGTGCAGTTTTACTCATATTTTTATACAATTATCTGTCTGTATTCTGGATTTTTACTTAATATTCTTCTTTTCTGACAGATTCACTGTTTATTCTGATTGTATTATCAGCTTTTTGGTTTCTGATGCAGGATGAGGCTGTTGATCAGAGACTGAAGCTCTGTCAGTGCACATTGTGATCAATAATAATATACTCTGTGATCAGCTCTTCAAAGTTTGCATCTTAATTAATAATCTGAACATTAAAAATAACCATTTCTTCACAGAATTGAAAGAAATGTTGCGCTGTAGGCCTACTGTGTATATTTTTAGTTTTCTTTCACCCTTTAAAATCAAGAAGGCCATGTGACCCCTGGTAAAGGCTTGGCGACCCCTAGTGGAGGTCCCGACCGTCAGGTTGCTCTGGTGAGTATCTGTGGCAGCAGGACGGTGTATAAATAAACTACAGTGTGGCTCATTGATGTGTTTTTAATAGTTTTTGGACAACAACGGAGCTCTGTGGCACAGAGGAAGCAGGTCTATCGGGCTGGGATGCACAGTTTCACTACTGGTTTCAGTCTGAATGAGATTCGATGATGAAACATATTGAGTGTGAAGTTTCAGACATTTTGATGAACTTGAGGTTCTGGGTTAAATTTTTTTTTTAAGAGTTTTTTTCCAGCTGTGGTGTCAGAAAATGTTTATGTCAGATCTTCAGCTCTCACACTGAAGAGGAAACTATATCTACAGGCTGTGCATTAGAGCGCCAGCTGCATTGCTTTTTTTTATATAACATTGTTCACCCTCCCTTGTCAAGGGGTCTGAATACGGCACATTGTTTCTTCTTGGAGACGGTCCAGGCGAACGGGTTTGTCTCCAAAAGCGCCTCTAGCCGCTCTGCAGCCAACCTGCAGCCGCTTTCTGCGCTCTGAAATCTCACTCCAGGACGGCCGAGAACCTTTTGTTATTTGCGGTTTCTGTTCGGAGTGAGATGTGTTTCTGTTTGTGTGTGTCCTCGGGCGGGTTATTAGGACGACGAGGAGCGGCTGCTGGATGGATGATGTGTTCAGCCCCGTCTCCACACACACACACACACATTCCACAGTGGATCTGCAGGCTCGGCGGCTCTGGATGTTCGTTGGAGCCACATACCAACATTCCTCACAGCCCAGTGCAGCGTTTCAGCTTCCTGACCCGCTCGCACCGTCCTCCGCCACCGCTTCCTCCGCCGCTTTTTCACACTCTGTCTGTCGGCCGCAAACAAAATCCCACTTAACAAGTCACTTTGTCTCATATTCAGCCTTAAAAAAAACATGCTTTTCTGCCGGCGGGGTGAGATAATCCCTCTTGTTCTCAGCTTCCCCTCGACTCAGGAATGTTTTTCTGAAATGTGTCTTGAAAGAAAATAATCCTGTTTCTGCATCCGTGTCGAGAAAATGATTCGAGAAAACTACTGATACAAGCTGATTTATATGGAAACATTGAATTATGTCAAACTAATGGGCAGTTTTTTAGGAAAATATATAATTTTAGGACTCCTTTACTGGCAGTTTCAGTTTCTCAAAAGCAAAATAAAATTCTGCCTTTTGTGAAGCTTCTGCTGTTTCAGGTATTTTCTAGAATTGATTGTCAGCATTGAGAAATAAGAAAAAACACAGCAGATATCTTCTCCAGAATTTAAAGATTTAGCTGATTTGTCTTGAAACCGTGAAATGATCTCAACCTACTGGTTGGTTTTGGTGCTTATTTATTTATAACATTTTAGGACTCCTTCCTCAGTTTCTGTTGTTTCAAGAATTTTCTAGACTTGAGTGTCAGTATTCAGAAATAATAAGAAAATAAAGCAGATATCGTCTCCACAACTGAAAGATTTCGCTGATTTGTTTTGAAAACATGAATTTATCTCAACCTGCTGGCTGTTTTCCCTAACTGGCTTTAGTTGGAGATTTTCTGCTTGTCTTTCTTTAAAAACGAAAAAGAAAATTCAGCAACAATCTGTAGATTCACCAGAATCAAAAGGCGTATTAATATATGCTGATCTGTCATGAAAACTGTTGGTTTTGGTTATTATTTTAGGAAAGTAAAACATTTCAGGACTGTACAAGAGACTAATCGAGTCGTGCCGTTGGGGAATTTGTGCTTTATTCTTTTTCTCATATTAAAGCTTAAAAACCTGCTTCTGACCCTTCA